TCGAACCCGCGATGGTCTTGCTTCGCCGGCCATTGACCCAGAAAGCGCTTTCACCGCGCGTTCCCTCGGAAAAAGAAATTGTAAAAACCGAAGTTCCCTGTTTGTTCGAAAAGTACACGTTAACGGTCAAGCGTTCGATTCTGGATCTTAAACGCCCGGCGCAGATGCTCCTAGATACCCTCCCAGAAATAGAGTTTACGTTTCTCGTCGGTGGCGTTACGCTTTTACGAAATATCTGCTTGGCGAAGAAGTTCCCCGTTCCCATCGTTTCTTGATCCGTTCTGCTTTTGTTGTACAATAAATTATTTATTTCCATATCTCTCGAAGCTACGCGAATGTACAAATTACAGCTTCGCGGTATTTATGCCCAAAGGAACGGTACATTCCAATTTCGATCTAATGGGTTGCATCTAAATGTAAGATTTTCCGAAAGAAACGTACGTTTTCTCAATTTGCTTAATTAAATATTTGATACGCTTCACGGTTGATCGCTAGCATCTCTCGTTTCCGTTTTCGCGATTGGAACGACGCGGATACTTTTACCGCGGTTTACAGCCACGGATCGCCGTTGAAACGTTTAACCGCTGCTTTTCTGTTACGAATGCTTTACGACGCGGTTGTCTAAATTATGCCCCGCCTCGTTAGAAACGCGTCGCGTTGCAACTTCCACGATTAAATTGGCCGAAACGAATGGGAGATTCTTCGGGGTACGTGATACGTCGAGCATCTCTTCGGCTACGGTAATCGATGCAAACCGCCGGCTGATTTCTCCAACGTAACGTTTCCTATTGCTTCCCGGGACGAGTCACTTTACAGCTAGCTGTAAAACGCCATGTGTGGTAACAGGATCGATGGGGATACTTATCGATTCACGGCAAAATGATGTGCTCGAGGACTCATCTTAACTCCAACTATATTTGATTGTTGGAACGTTGTCCTGAATAGAGACTATGTTACTCGCTCGAGTCTTCCAGGAACGAAAGCTGTTCGTGTCGTGGAATTCACGGAGATTTTAAAGTCGTTCCCGGTTTTGTAAATGGGACAGATAATTAGCAGAATAACCTGACTATATACCTTCCGTCGCTGCTGCAAGTTTCCGAACAACGAATCGGATTCAAACACTCAGGAAGTTGGAGAGCTCTCTTCGGGAAAGGATAAGTTGAGAGACAAGTAGAAGAGATTTCGGAAGAACAGACACGGTTTCAAGAGGATTGTGATTTTTGCTCGGACCGATTTCTCGAAAACTCCGTTGTTAGTCATAATTGTTAACAACCGTCCTAGTTGGAACATCGAACTTCGATGAAGAAAAGCGGTTAGGTAATGATAATAAGGCAGTATATTTGCAAACCTCGCGCTGTCAACCTGGCAATTGTTTTGCGCGCAAACCGTGAGTTTCGCCCTCTGACCGTTCGCCGTTCTACTGTTAAGACAGAGTGGCCAACTTTGGAATTGCGCTGCCGGGACCGACGCAAACTCGAGGCGAAGAGAAACTCGATACCAACGTTGATTATTCGAAGTTGCGGATACGTAGCGGTTGAGACGCGTTGATTTTGCTCGTCGGATCGACGGGGCTCGCCGAAACACCAGGGAAACAGCGGGACGAAGTCGATATTGTAATTAAGCGACGTCGATGGGTTGAAAAACTAATTCCCTGCTGGCTGTGAATCATCGTTCGAACGTTGGTTTCAACCGCGATGACTTTGCGGCCAGTTTCATACGCGAGACACGGTAAACTCGTTCTCCGTAAACAAGAATCGTTGATTTTAATTCGATCAGCAAAGTATGTTTAGCAGAAAACTTATCCCATTACTCGACTCTATCCGGATCTCTTTTCCTCTCGTGTCTTTTGGCACGGAAAATGGATTTCCCGCTAAAAATGCACGTGGGCGTTGAACGTTTGAAAGAAATCGAACCCGGAACGTTATTTCGGTGAAAAACTGGAGCAGGAAATACGGCCGTCCCCGCCTTTGGGACACAACTGCGTCTGGGGGGGCTTCCCGGTGACGAGTTTCCGTTACGCGTTGCTGTAAACCCCTGCACAACTCACGTTCGCGGTAGTAAATTTAATATATTCTCCCACTTGCTCGCTATGAAACTCAACATGTGTCTACATCGGTCTCATCTACTGCTGAACGAGCAACGAAAACATGTGTAACGTGTGCGCTGCGGGAAACGCACCGACGTTGGGGTTGAGGTATCCTGCGCTACGGACGAGAATTTCCTCGTTATTAATTAAGATACGGTTGCGTTTTAGTACTCTAAGGAAATAGCAGAGAATATTTGTATAGCGTTCCAACGACAGCTATTTTAGAACATTATTACGAAAACTAAAAACTAAAAATATTAACAACCAGTTAAAAATCAAACTACCCCATTGTTTATTTCGTCGGCTATAGACGTCAAAATGGTGCACGCCAGATGCTCCATAAGAAGTTAAATCAGCCTCGAGGATGTATTCAGGTCTTAAAGGCAATAAAGTTCGTACGAACGTGAATGACAAATAGGAAGTTGTTAAAGGTAAATGTCCGGCATTTTGGAGCAAATATGTGGAACGGAAAAACACCAGCAGCATTTCACGAAGAAATACGTGTAGCACGTAATTCTTAGTGATGGATGTTATCAGCCTGGTTACCTCCAGGATTGGAACAACAACGTAGACGTTTCGCAAGGCTGTGAGGTACTCCTCCGAGTATTTCTTTCGTAACATATACACTTTGACGGAAATTACGTCAATCTTGCCTTCGAGTTCAATTTTTCGTGCCTGCTGGTTCGCGAAAAGCTTACGTTTATTAGAAAATTTATCAGGTCTGTTCGAAATTCATGCGATGTTTTCTATTTAGATTTGAGTCATTCTCCTCGTATCAAAGAAACAGACATCCAGTTACAGCAATTTTCCACTTGTCACACTCCTCGTCCAATCTCGCTCTACTTCTGTGCTACAGTCAATTTTGTGCCTGGACGACTCTCTGCTTATCTACACAGGAAATGCTACCAACGACAGTCTCGAATGTAGCTCTACGTCTCATCTAGATTTTATAGACTTTCATAGCTCCAAAATTTGGACGCTTTCTCACGATATTATTTAATGTCTCGCATCCCCAGATCTAAGATTTCTCTTAATTAATTCTACAAACCGAATCGATGTTGAAAAGAGGTGTCCACCCTTTTCCCTGTATCAATATTTTGCTCCTACGTTTGAAAACGAGATTGTCCGGGCTTCTGGAACCACCCTGTGTATTCGTGCATTGATCAGCAATAGTAAAAAAGGTCGTCGTAAAAATGGATCGCGGCAGGAATCGTTCGTCTTCGCTAAAAGGACGAACTATCGCGTGCGTGTTCGATGATTAAATTCACGACCGCAGGAGCATCACCGCGAGTCCTTTTTATTTTTCTTGCGCCAATTTGCATCATAGAAAAATTAAATGACGCTATCTGCGCGTCACGCACACGGTTCGCGTGCGTGCGCGACGCGTCCGTACGAAATGAGAAAAACCGTACGTTCGATCGCGATTCCACGACCGTGAATTTCATCGAAACGAGACTATAAATAACACGAACACCGACGCCACCGGGCCCCCGCTGGGCTGAATTTCGCCCCCGGGTTTGTTAATTAATCGATATCGCGGAATTACGAGCTCGATACTCTACATATACACTACGCGTCAAAAGTATCGGATCGCTCGCGATATTCACCGCTTACGGAAAGATGAAACACAATGAAAGATGTTTTAAGACTTGCTCGTATCGACTAAAGATAAAAGTATTTATTTATTGTTAGTTTTCTATATATATATACATTAACTCGAAAGATACGAAGAATCCAGATTCCCCTCTCGTCGAGTAAACGAAACAAAACTTTTGAACGATGGTGTATGCACGCCCAACGGCTTGGCCGGGGGCACGCGAAAGATTGGGATTAATGAAGACGCAGTGGCGAAATCTAAAGATGTAATTACTGACAGAACAAATCGGTAGTAATCTTGATTACAATCTACATCTGCTCCCGTTCGTAACATCTCGGATTGCTAATTAATCGGGTCCCATGGCCGTCTCCCCGCCCGTTGCCGCGGATATCGGCCCCCATCGTTCACATTAATACCGCAATAAACCAATCCGTGGGCCCCCATTGACGGTACATATCGGGGCAAAAAAAGGCCTGCCGGCAGGCTGCTGGAATCTCGCAAAAACGATCGAAGACACGCGGAACAGCGTGCCCGACGTGTTAACACCAGGAATGCAGTCCAATTTTTGCTCTATCCGGGCTCACGGCTGGCAACTCGCCACGTACGTGCACGTCATTTCATATCGGTCCTTGTTGCCAGCTATCTTGCAAGGTGGTAATACCACCTACTTCCCTCCTTCTTCATATTTTTTTTTTTTTTTAACTTCTACCTTCCCTCATTTTTTCTATTACTCCCGCGGTGAACGATCTGTTCCCATTCAGCTGGGCGACACCCCCTGCGTCGGAGACATCGAACGACAAGGTGAAAAGGTACCCAGCGATTTTCACCCCTCTCATTTCGCGATACTGATTTCCTTTTATTTGCCAGAGGGTGCAACTAAACTTCGACAGTGTTTGCTGAAACGCGTAAGCCAGTGATTCTTTGCCTTTTGGCATATTGTTTCGAATGACCCGCGGTTTCATTAAACCGACATCCGCGGTCTCTGGTGCCAAAATATTTTTACGACCAGCTCCGGCTCGCACGGCCGTTGTACAACGAGTTCTCTTCGAACCGTCTGTCTGTCAACAACCTCCCAAACCAAACCGACATCAATTGACCGCTATATTGACGCGTGTGTACAGTTTTTATACGTGGGTGTGCTCGTGTACATTAAAACTACTGAACTAAAAGTGCGCAAAACTTTATTTCTTTACAATCCAAAAGTCGGCTTCCTCGATCGTCGTCTTCCTCCAAATCGTAACACGTATCAATAATAGATATAATTTTTCAACTCGAAAGCTCGATTTGGTTTAACGTTTCTCTGTGTTTGTGCTCCAGGTAATATCAGGACCAGAGCCGTGCTGGACGTGGAATCGAAGAGAGGATACTGGCTGACGGTATTCGCCCAGGATCACGGTGTGGTGCCACTGACTTCGAGTTTGCAGGTTCGTACGCCAAAAATGAATCGTATTTTTCATAATGCACGGATGCAGGATTGGAATTTATTTCACTTTTTTGTATTTGAATAGAACTTTTCGATGCTGCGGAACTTCGTTTAATCGATCGTGTAGAGATTAAGACTGTGTTGTGTCTAGCGTCCGGTGTTTGCTGAACGCTTCGTTCAGGTTCGAGTAAACGAGATTCCGCGGCGGTCAGGGTCGAAGGACGCCGCGGCGACAATGGATTTCGATTTCGCGACATGCGACGAATTTTTTTCGAATTTTTTTCGCATCGCGAATTACACGCTCGCCGAGACGGTTGCCTCGTAAATAATTCACAGCCGGTTTCTGTTCAGGTGTACGTGGAGGTGTTGGACGAGAACGACAACACCCCGTTGACCGAGGTTCCGGTCTACTATCCGTCCGTGGCGGAAAACTCACCGGCGGGCGTGAACGTTCTGCAGATACGGGCGTTCGATCGCGACGTCTCTCCCCAACAATTCACCTTTTCCATCACCAGTGGCAATCCGGAGGGTTATTTTCTCATCAACTCTACCACCGGTAAGTTCCGCATGGTCAGTCGCGTCGGACCGGGCAATATCTTGTCGGGAATCGAAATGGATTGGCCGCCCTGCAATCGTCTCCGTTCTGCAACGAGATCAATTTTACCCGGACGAGGATTTTAATGGGCCGACTCGAAAATAAACTGGTCCGCGCGCGCGCGCGCGCGAGCGGTTCTTCAAATTTCGATCGAACCGCCGGATAATTTACGCGAACGAAACTCGCTAACGCGGAAATGGGGGTAAACGGGAAGATTTCGATGCGAGATACACGAATAATGAACTCGATATTAGATTTCGCCGTGATATACGGAACGTTCCGGCATCGCGGTTCGAAGACCAAATTTAATTTAAATTTTAATTTCATTTATTCCCGCGGAATGTACTTTTCATACGAACGTGGAGTCGCCGGAACCGGGAGAATAATGAGGAGGAAACGTGCGAGCAAACGCGAAGGGAATACAAAGGGAGCGTGCCTCGTATGGAAGTTATTGATGAACGGTTAAATAACGGATGACAATCGCGAAAAAAAGTCGACGATATGACAAAACGAACTTGCGTTCGCGAAAATGCTCAAATAGTCCAAGAGATAGTCCAGAGATTCTTAGGGAGGGCTCAGTTACACTTACAAGCTCGACGTCAAATACATTTTATCGGGAATTTAAATAATGGAGTATTTCACCATGCCACAGTTATGGATTTAATTGTTTCGTTCGAACAAACGTCGGGATCGAATCGGTGTATCGTTGATTTAATTTATTTATTATTGGAATAAAACTTGTCCTCGTCTCTGGTGTAGTATAATGCGCCACTGTTCGCGTGTCTCGTTCGGCTTTCACGTTCCGTAAAACGGTTAAGTGACTCACCGCATGCAAGCGGAAGGAAAGGACCATTGTTTTCGCCTTACGCGGTAACGTATGCAAATTCGCCTGATCGAACTTCGATTCATTATTCATCGTTCCGCTCGGGTCGGCCGCGTCAGCCTGCGGAATTATGAAACGATGAAAAGTCAGAATCTCGTTATTGAGAAAAAGCGATTACAACGCTATTATGAGGGACGAGGATATTGCATGCGAATAGACACGAATACAAATGGGCGTGAATCAATTTTAGCGTGAGAAAATTTGCGATACAAATTCGATTCAATCCTTCGCGAGTGATCTTAGTGGCCCGGGGAACGATTAAATCAGACTTTTAAATGAGCAGAGGGTGAAATTGAACTTTTAATTTGGACGTCGCTGCCGATATAAAGAAACTGTGCCCTGTCGTTGTATTCGCTAAAGTAGATACTTTTTTTAATTGTCCACTTAGCATCGAGTAATAAAGAAAGCGTTGAAAATAGACGTTGACAAATGGACCTTGATTGTTAAGGGTAGCAAAATTCTTGGGAAATAATTAAACGTAAAATGTTCCTCAGTGTTTGAAAGCTCAAATTCAGAGTTTGAATAGTGCGTGTTCTCGCTTGAATACGTATTTTTTATGAATGCAGGTGCAATATATAACAAACGAATGTTTGACAAAATTTAAATTGGTTGTAGATCAGTTCCAAATTTGTGGTACCAAAAAGGGGAAAGTTTTGGAGCTATTCTTGATCGTCTGTACGCTACTTTGAACTTCACCGACAAAATTTATGGCGAAACTATGTAGTTCCAAGCGCAAACTTGGGTCCTCGACTTCGTACAAAACTTGGCGATAGCGCAAAGTTTTACTCGGAACATCGAAATCAGCACGCATTCTGGTTCAGCGTTCCGTCAGCTGATGCTTCTTTGCGGAATTGGTACTCATTAATTACAAACGAAGACAACGGGGAACCCACGTAATTAGACAATCGTAATTACACACCCATCCAGTTAACCGGAGTCTTCCCGTCCCGGCATCTGCTTTCTTCCGCAAGTTTCGTAAGCAGCCATTTATCCCCAGTCATCTCGAAGATCGATGCGAGGCAGCGCGGAAAATCGCTTACGCCGGTAGAAGACGGCTTGTAATTAAAAAGTCGAGCGTCCTCTGATTCGTATTCATTGGTCTTTCCATGCCGCGGGAAACTTTCCTCGCTCGGATTCACTGCAATTATGAAAACTTCCCCGGCTTCTGCTCTCTTTACGGAGCGTTTCGCGTTTCACGCTCCGGAAACGGTCGTCGAAAGTACCCGCGCAAAGTCGTCGGATACAACGACGAGCAAAACGACACGTTCCAAAGTGATAACAGTACGCGATATGAAAAATTCTGCATGGAACGCGAACCGTATAACATATGGTGAAAATACAAGCTGCATTGAAAATTTCATAAAGAAACACCGGCGATTGTTGTGTCGAAAGTAGTAGGTTTGTTAAAAGAATCGCTCGAAAGAGATCGATTTTGTAGGAAATCGATTCACAATGGAACATCCGTAGTGGCTTCTCTCACGGCCGGAAATACGGTACCAATAAAAGGGGAACCCTATCGCTGCTAAATGTCGTCGGGTTATCATCGGGCGAACAATGCGTCCGCGTGGCCCTCGAGAAGTATTCTCGGCTGCTTGCTTTTATCGTCGATTCCCGGAGTGCATTCACGCTGCGATAAATACGTGCTCTGCTCGTTTTTATTTCGCCGGGAGGGCCGCTGCCGCATTAAAGCGACGCCGGTCCGTTGACCACGTTTTTGCTTTATCGAACGTGCTCTTCGGCTGACCGACTGCCTCGGAAATAAATCGTGCACCGCGTTCCGCTGAATTTACCCCTTATCGCGTGTTTGGACATGCGTACGGTAAGATTCTGAAAGGGTGTTTCTTCATCCGGACGCACGGAGGCAGCAAACATCGGCTTTTGGTTAAGAATCCCCTCTACTCCGTAACACTAAAATAAGGCGTTCATTCGTGAATTTTTTACTCGAGCACCGTCAACGATAGCCTCCTCAAACTTTGCACATACATTTGCAAGTATTTGAAGAAACTGTATAATTATTTTCGTAAGGATCTATCAATTTCTTGAAGAGACAAAAATATGAAATAAAAATTGTAATAAATTCAGCCAAAGAAACCGGTCGTCCCCTTCAAAGAACTCAAGGATCGCGAAGACGGTCGATGAGATCTTGGAAATCACTGTGTCGATGGTGACTGTTGCGAACTGGGTTAAACCTCGGGGGATTACCCGCGCTTAGAATGAAAAATTCGAAACCATTCGTCTCCGAAGCGCGGTTTTACGGATATAGATATTGTGATTTACCACCTACAGTGGGTCGTTCGGATTCCACGAGCGTTCCACGCATCGAATTCTCGCTGGAATTTGAGATCGGCTTACCGAGCCCGGTAAACGCGCGTAACCATGTAACATTTTACGCAACGCGTTCCCGTTGAGGTCACTGTCGACTATATTTATCGGAGATTATTGCGCTTTTTCGGAGACGCTCTACGATCCGCGAATAAAGAGGGGCTCGGGTGAAGAAAGAAACGCCGGGCGCATTCAGATTTCCCCTAATGACAGCATTACGACGGAACAAGATGGCGAGAACCGAAACGAGCTACCAGATGCTGCCGATCCACCCGCGGAGAATGAATAGGTCGTTTGGCCCAGGGTTCGGGCATTTTGCGAGCACCAAACGGAAGCGTACTTTTCTTCGTCCCGCAAACGCGAAACTAATAGTCACGATACGCGGGTAGACGTTCGTCGGCGCCAACGAACGTTTCGCGAGTAATTAAAAAATTTTAACGGGCCAAGATTCTGTTCGAAATTCCTCGCGCCAGGGGTAAAGCTCGAGTGGGAATTCGCGCGATCGATCGAACGCCTCCATATTTGGTGGATCTGGAAATACGTGGACGCACTATGATTTAACCAATCGAATGCTCGCACGAAACTACTTTAGTTGGACCAAGATAGCGCAAAGAAACTCCGAGCGTCTCATAAGCCTGCAAGTTGTCCGCGGAAACACTCGGAGTTGGACGATTGTGCAAATATAATCCCACTGCCTTATAACTTGGAAGTTGTTCCACGAAACTCTCCAAGTTAAACCTAGATTCAAGTTAGACAAAGAAAGTCTTGGCACTCGACATAGAACTGGAAGTCAACCGCCCATTATTGCCAAGAGCAGCCTCCTTGGCGCTTCCTGGACATCGTGCCTGTGGTTTTATCATTCCGTGTACATAGCGGTTCCTAGCGCATGTCGCCTTTTTACTTATGTTACACCCAGGCCCTAGACTTCTCTAACATAGTACTCCGCAGCTGTGTTTCGTACCACCGACTACGAGAAAATTGCAAGAAATATTTTCTTTACAAATTCTTTCTAAACGATTCGCTCGTGATTCAATTGCGTATCAAAGATCTAATATTCGTCCCGAAAAATGAGAAATCATGAGCGAAAGGATTAAGGGAATTACCGTTACGTAACGTTTCCCTTTTTCCCCCGTTCCCGTCTCGTTAGGTCGGCAACGAAACGAGTTCGCGGGTACGAAAATTGCATTTGGCCGCGAGTCGGCCGTGGAACGTAATATAATTCTTATCTAATAATACTTTAATACCATTTAATGCGGCGAAATGCAAACGTAAACGAGGTGCCGCGATGAGGTTCACGTCCGACGAAAATGGCGGGCAACGGACGACCGATAAAGACCCAGGAAAGAGGCATAGGCGAGATTGCATAAGTTATTGCGGGCAAATCAGCCCGGCTCGATCTCTCGTTCGTATTAACGTTGCATTTACGGTCAAGCGGCGCATTGTTCTTATTTAAAGAAACCCCGGGAATAATAACGGATAACAACGGCGTTTTGGGAACAGTATTGCGAGATTAGATCAGATAATGCTCGCTCTTGTAATACGTTGTAGCTCGGGGAAAGGAATACGCTCATGCGCCGGCGTTCTATCTATTATATTATACATATATCGTGGTATGCAAAACGCTCTCGATGTGCATTTATTCGAACGAAATTTTATCAAACACACCGATTAAAGGAAAAATTAACGAGTGAGAGTAATTTTATAAAAAGGAACTGTATCGTACAACGGTAATAAATTTTTAATAACATTGTGCAAAGTAATAAATACAGGAAAACCGTGTATAGGAACGAGAAGTCTCCGTGGAAAGTTCCCAGAATGAATTGACCGCATGGAGAACTCAGCTTATACATATAAATGCATCGAGGATGAGGTTCAATTAAGGAAATGTTATTAAAACGTAACCTTAATTGGATAGATTATCGGTCGCATGCGTGCGATTGTTAGATCAAAAGCAAGCAGTTAGAATTAAACGAATATATAAATGTACGAGAAGCAAGGTGCAGCTAAAGTACTGTTATTAAAATCTAACCTTAATTACATGCACTATCGGTCGAGAGCGTGCGATTGGTAGATTGGACTTTTACTTTTTGCGGCAACAAGACACGACTAAATTAACCTTCTAATTACCTTCGTTTTAATTAACATTTCAAGTCATCGAGCGAAGGATAGAGAAGAAACTTCTTTGCTTCCTAGGAGGCTTGGAACGATTTCTATCTCGTAAAATCTCGACTTATCAGACTATTTATAAACGAAACCGCGTGTAACTTAAGAATGTGGTAACGTAGGATACCAGGATTAAGTCTTCTAAACCAAAATCCGTTAAAATCGAGGGTTTCGCCGTAGTTTGTCACCGAAGGGTTTATTTCGCGTTTATCTGTGCCACGCCGTTCGCCTGTTCTCACTTCACGCTCGATCCCCCGTGTTGAGACAACAGTTGCGAAAGTTCCGTGACACGGGACTCGATTAAGAACAGCTCACTGGCTGCAATACGCTCGCGGATTTGTTTCAGCGACAATCGAACGGAGAAGGTCGACGGACGCCTGACCGAAAATAGGACGGGCGGATTTGAGAGATTGCGGGGCGCAATTTGCAATTCAAAACAATACGTACACGTCGAAGGATAGCAATTGTTTCGATTCTCATATACGGGCATTAATGGCGGCCCGTACCGGCGCCACGACGCTCGTTAAATTTCACTGCGACGCGGACTCGCGCGAATTCCACGCCTTTGACGTTCGCCCGGTCCAAGATGCTCGATTTGCATACTTAAATAACGCGGGGAACGCGATAAATCGGCCGAATCGTCGCACACCGTGCCCTTTGTGCCTCTCCGCGACGCTACGGCGGGAACGAGCGACGGACGACGAACTTCTTTACATTAAATCGGTCGAGTAATCGTCCCTCGAGACGTTTACGATCTCGGCTGGCTATCACGGAATTAGTTTAACGTCTAAAACGAATATTACCCTCGGAACGAACGCAAACAACGTTAACGAGATCTCTGTGGTATCAAACATTTCGAACTCCGCGAAATTTCCGCGGAAACTTGATGATTGATCTGGATTCTGTAGATCGCATCTCGATGTTTTACGAGCAGGAACTTGCGCCGCGATATTAGCCGCAGTCTCGTTTGATTTATTTGTTTACGAGAATGTTCCCATTATTAACGAGAATATCGCGCAATTGGGAGCTGAAAATAACAGGGGTAGATACGCTCTAGTTTTCGAATTTCTGGACTGTTGACAATATGGCCGCTTTAAGGGACGATCTCCAAGATTGTATACATATAATTGCAACTATTCGAGACTGTTCTACGTTCTGCGATACAATACAAGGGTTGTTTGTGCTCTGGTGGTGATTTCTCAACGAGGGTCGTTCCTGGTATGCGGTCTAACCGAAGACCTTTCGGTTATCGATTGCAATGCAGAGTCTACGATGTAGACCGTTAGGGTCAAGATTGGTTAGAGACTTAGAGGAATAGGTTAACATCGAAGTAATTCGAAACTACTGTTATTGGCCAGAAATTTGTAGACGATATTATGGTAAAATACAACTAGTAGATCATCACAATAATATTCTCCTGGCTTGTAAAAACTGTTACGAACGTTCCGCGTAATCGTTAGCATTTTCATGCATGCCCAAAAGAAAAAACCAGTGTCGCGGTTCTATTATTCGCTGTTCCCTGTTCCCTGCCGGTTTAGTGCCAAGCATTTGCAGAAACTATCACGCGCAAACGCTCGCGAACTGTAAAAGAACCGCATCCAATCCCGCGAAGGATCCGAAACGTCGAGAGTGGAAGCTCCCGGCGCGTCCTCTGACAGAAATAAAAACTCGTCTCGGGGGATGATCGCGCGGCGTCGGTCCCACGGTTTCTCCCCGCTATACTTTTCACCGTCCGTCATAAAGTATCCTCCCGAAGGGCCTGGAAATCCGCGGCCGAGGAGTCGTCGTCGAGAACGTCCCGGCGGCGTCCGCTGGGAGGTGACGCGAGCGAAAATAAATTCAACGCGATCCGTCGAGTTCCTCGCGGCGCGTGTACACAACGCCGCGTATCCGGATATCGAGAACGAGGCAGAGATATCGGGACAAGTTGGTAATACCGCGAATAGTTCCCAATAACGAATTTTTTTCTCGACGGGTCGTCCGCGCGCGGCTAAGAAATGAAAACGAAAAAGCAATTATTTAAATGCGTCCCGCGTATTTCTCGCGTTCCCTCTGTGCGTCGCTTTTCTTCGTTTCTCTTTTTCCGCGGGGCAAACATTCGTTCCTCGCTGGGATGTGAAAAACGTGGAAAAGAATATTATAGTTATCCATCGACCAACTTTTGTAGACCTTAAATTATATCGTAAATGTAGTACCAAGTTTAACGAAGACAGTTACTTCCACTCGTATTCGTATAATGTAATGGCGATTCGCTATAAACGAAAAGAAACTAGTTTCTTATGAATTCTTTCCATCACGGGCGTTTCCAACGAGGAAACCGTGGCAGTAGAATGTCCCCCCTTATTACTGGCCGCGCGTCGAATCCCGAGGAAGTCGCATTGGAGAAAGCTGGAACAATGGCGCTGCACTTGACGGTCGCTGTCGATGGTCGATGCACTCGATCTCCGGAAATTTTCCGCGCCGTTTCTCTCGTCGGAGACCGCGGCTGGCACCTCACCCGACCCGTGGAATCTTGTTATTACGGTTATTAGAGTTTGTCACGAACGATTCGGGGAAATCTTGAGGTCAGCTCGACGTCGATTTAATCAGCTTTAGGGCTGTTGGGACGAGCTCTCGAGGACGTCGATCGAGTCGGCGAAAAAATCGCATGGTTGCGCTTCAAGTACGTGGCACTGATCTCCTCGTGGATCAAAAGCTTAGAAATTCCCACTATGAACGGATAGAATTTTCAGGAGTGACTCAATATTTTTAACGTTAATTCTACTACCAAGGTGGTGAGCCGAGTTTAATTACCTCGAGTATTTTATTTTACTTGGAGTGTATTAATATTACTCCCAAGCGATCGTGGGTTATATTACCTCGTACTTCGTCAGCGCGAAATGCGAGGCCCTTCGTCTAATTCTAATGAGTCCGCGAAACAGAAGTCCCGGAATTTCCCGCGTGCCTGCACAACGTCAGAGACAAACGAGACTCACCGCGGCCAGAGACACGGCTTCCCCCGGTAACATGATTAGTACTTCCTACTGGAATATAAAATCTGCGCCGTTTGTCGCTGTTACCGGAAGCCGTAGAAACCAGGGTGAAAAAATGTGGTCGCGGTCGGCGCACCGGGTCGCAATTTCAGGGGCTTCGTTCTTGTTCCGCGACGTCGTTTTCAGAAACGTTGCCTTCGAAAGCTCCGGAAACCGTCCGCATCCGGCAAGGTCTTCCGCCGTATCGCGGAAAAGTTGTTCTCCGATGTCTGCGGAGACTCTTCCATTGAAATTTCTTCCCCGGTGTAAAAACAACGTAAAAACAATTTACGACGAATGAGAATTATTTCATTGTGAATTCTTTAAAGTCGTTCGACTGTTGGTCCTCTTCTGATTACAGTATTATATTATTTTTCTTGGTCATTGTGTTCTTGTTCCCAGAATGTTGGCCGATTTTCCGGAAAATCGGTTCCCAGCGCGCGACACGAGACGGATTCTCGAGCGAAACGGAGCAAAGGGAAAATACGAACGACGGGTGAAAAGAATAGAGAGTAGAGCTCGAGCGCGCACGACAACCGTCCGACGGAATCTGAACGCTATAATTTTGTCGAGTCCGTTCCATCGGGCTAATCTTTGTCTCCGCTAATCGAGGCCTTTTCATTCCGTTGCAAATTGCCGCGGCGAATTGTACCCCGTCTCGTTCCGCGATGTCGGTTTACCGGTCGAATCGGGAATGAAACGTCGTCGGGGGGAAACCTCGATTGAAACACCGTTTAATCAAGATTTATTAAGCCTCTGTCGATGGCGTCTAATCCATTGCACGATTATGTTTCAGGCTTGATCACGACCAGCGGCAGGAAACTCGATCGAGAGAATCAGGCGGAGCACGTTCTGGAGGTGAGTTTGCATGCAAATTATTTTCCGGGAAATTATTGCGATTCGAATCGTGACTGTCCGTCGACGTTATTTGTTGGAATCTCTGATTTTTTATCGACCCCGCTGTCTTACGATCAATTCCGCGCTGGACAATAAATGGCGATCGATGTTGTTTGGCATATTCAATCTGCAGGCGTAATTCTTTTTCCCACGACCGAAGGAATTTACGACTGATGCTCAATCTCGCGTATTCCGTAGCCAGAGATTTTTTAAATTAAATTTATAATACGCTCCCACAAAGTTTGCACGGAGAAGAATTCTTATCGAGGATAGGTTCCGAGGGAACCTTAATCCCTCGTGGTGGTATTAACTGGACCACAAAGATACAGATTCGCTTGGTTAATCCCATAATACGGACATTTTAAATTTCTCTGCGATTCTGTGCATGTACGGAACAACGATATAATTTTATTCATTCGTACGTGCTCCATTGATAATTTATGCTATACGTTGCACGCAATTATATTTACAATACGAAATTGTAAATGCATAATTGCACGCTGTACCTACGGTGAAAGCAAAATGTAACGTAAAATCATAAAATGCAAATTTGCTTTGAATCTCGCTCCTAATCCTCTTCCGGTACAGTTTGCGCGTTCCCCGTGCACTTGACACGGACAACGAACAAGCCCAGGTTTATCGATACTTCAAAATAGTTATTTCACAAACAAGTCTCCGTTCTGCAGACGCGTCCAGGCGATGGTGTTGCAACTTTCATACTGTCCGCCTTGTACTGTTTGCAGGAACACTTACTTCCTTAACCGTTTATCTCCCGACAGGATTTTCTCGTCGGGTCTCAGGAGGATTCAGACGAGACAGGGCTGCCGGCTTAGTAGTTCCTTGGCTCGCGGAGTAGCTTCAGCGGAATAATCGCTTTACGCTAAGTATAATCGTGCGTCGGTGCGCATAGTTTGCGCTTTGCTCGTCGACGATGTACGCGACCCGTGCCTCGCTCGGAGCTAAGTCGTATTCGCTAATAAAACGGACTACGAGTGCTGGGGACCATTTCGAATTTCCTAAATCGAGGCACCACCGTGGTAAAACTAGACGGCCAATGCTGGAATCCTCATCGTTGAAACTGCAAGAGGCTTAGAGGCGATTCCTTAACTGCCACGAACGAAACTCCCGTCGTACGCGAGACTTGTTATGCGGGGGCAACTTGTTTGGACAGGGGTTGGTTCTACGTGGACGAATTAATCAGAAACTAGAAGCAAAAGTTGAAGTAAAAGAAACAAAATTCGTCCGGTGTGCGTACGAGCACAACCGAGTACCACTTCGCCGGCGCGTCTGACCATTCCTCGATATTACTACTTGCATTGATGTATGCAATCGTTTACACTGACGTTGCATTATTTATTTCAACTGGATCCGTAATAATTAGTTAGAAGACAGTAAGATCGACGGAAAATGGTTAATGACATATCTGTATCGATGTTGTTAGGTACAAACGCAAGTAGAAATATCAAACGATGGTCAGACACGAGATATCAATCGTGGAATTGGAGTATGCCGCGTTTCGTATCTATTTATATTTTCGAAGTTATGAAGATGGAAAGCATAGATGCTTTAATTAAGATAATATTGAAGTGACGCGTTGGAAAATATTGTCACAGTCTGATTTTGCTAACCGTCTTCGTACAGTCTGCGCATTACAGTACAAGTTTGATTCCGTCTGTAATTGACACTTCGACAAACTGCCGACTTAACAGCCAAATTATTCTACAAACGAAGCAGCGAGCGGAATAAATGCCCGAAATATCGCTTCCCTCGAAGTTCCATGGATCCTGAAACGGCTCTGCAAACGACACTCGTTTCGACGCGCGTCTCCCCGGCAACTATCGCCCAAATAACGCCGCAGAGAAAAAGGAAACAAACTACGCTGCGAGGCGCGATATCGAAGATTAACCCCCACTCGTCGTTGAAATCTCGCAATACTCGATAGAGGGTAGTCGTTAAGGTAAATCGAATTTCCTAATGGCGTGCTAACGCTAACAGGTGATAGGTCGATTACCGATGCACCCTTTCTGCCTCTTAGTTTCAACCCCTAGTGTCGGTCTCGGTGCTCGGTGGATCTCTAAAGTCGCCCCTCTTGGTTTCGGGCTCGTTCCCTGACCCCGTCCCTGTTCCCCCTAATATTGTCAGGCTGGAAATGAGGAAGAAAATCGCATCCTCCCGAAGATTGAAAAGTAAAATGAGGAGAGTCTCCTCCTGTTCCGAGCGGTGAAAGCGAGAGGGCCAGGTTTAAGGGTGTCGTTTCTTAGAAGGGACCGAGAAAGACGAAAGCACGAAGGAAATACGTGGGGGGGGGGGCCGGGGGGTGAGAAAAGTGCGGCGAGAAAGGGACGCGAAGTGTCGGCGAGTAGATGGAGAATCAAGAACGGGACAAGGTGAGGCATTTCTCCGCGGGTCGTCGTCATTGGAGACTCTTGGGGGATTTCTTTTCTCTCTGCGCCTGGATTAAAGGAAAAGCCCCGACAGCTCTTGCCACCGACGGCCCTCCGCCTCTGTATCTCTGTGTCGCGAAACGCTGGAATTTCGTTACAATGGAAAGAGCAAAGGAGTATACCAATCTCGGGAAAAGGCTCGCCGGGGCGCTACGAGGGGGGGAGCTGGGAAATAAATAACGCTCGGTCGGAATGGAAGCGATCGGGTTGCGCCTTCTTCGAGCCCCGTAACGAGTTTTTACGTGTTGGCATATCAGGATAGGCTACGGACGAACTCGATACGGTTCTCGATACACTTTTACCTCGCTTAAACGCCGAAAATCGGGATCGTCAATTTCCTTTAACAGGAAACAATTGTTTAGAATGATAACGTGGGCATAGCACCGATAGAAACTTCTGGGAGGACCTAATGTAAATAGCGATGGAAACGAATCAGCATCTTAAATCTCGTGCTAGAATTCTAATTTGAAGCAAGGCGTTACTATACAGCACATTTCGCGTTCGAGTGGAATTTATTAAGCCGCTCGAGGTCCATCCGGCCGAAACGAAGGAAGTCCGACTTAGGGAACGGAAACGTAACAAGGAGTTAGGGTATCGATTTATGCGAAGTGAATCGGGCCGAGCGAACCCCTGTCCATGTTCCATTAATATTTAGCTGTACTGGAGGTGACGATGGTGGTCGGTTGCACCTTCGACCTTTATTTATGAACAAACGAGAATAATTCTTCGTGTACGGAAAAGGAAAAATGTCCTGAAAAACACTGATTACGACCAAAGAAGTAAACAAGTGAAAATCGTTCGCCAATTGTACCGCTATTCGTTTTCCCGCCACGAAAGGCAGCAAACCATCCACGATTTCAACTTCGATGGATTCGCGTGTCTTCTTTCCCATTAAAACTTACGCGCAGGTACGACGCCGTTACGTAAGCTGGCGTTTTACATAAACCCGTCGGCGAATTTCTCGCGGTCTCGTCTTGATCGTAAAAGTTACGATACGGTGTTATCCGTTGTCTGGCACCGGCAGAGTTCTCGGCAAACTTATTCAACGGCGTTTGTTTAGCCGCGTGTCGACGTAGCGGCTGAAGTTTCCTCGAATCGAAGCCAGTGTCCCTTCGGAATTTTTCACGGCGCGAAGCACACCCGCATACACGTAAACATGTGTATATATGAAAGAATGTTATCGAACGATTCGCACGGGACAGAAGGTAACTCTAGTTTTCAAGTTATCGGACCGTATCTACTTGAATCAGAAAAATTCTTCCATCGGGTACGATGAAGTTTGTTCCTAGACGTCTGAGAAGATTCGTCGTGTCCATCGATATCGCGGAGAAATAAAAGATGAAGACACGAACGCTTGAATTTGAATAATTACTCTCGAAATCATTATCATCGTTAAAATTATATTGGAAAGTACAGCTGGTCCCGCGAATTTCGTGGAAGCTTAATGATTTACGAGCAATCGCTCTTGACTCGGGAAGAAGAGCGTTCGAAGAGCAACTTCGTTAAAATTAACAGGTAAAAAATATAACTACGGTTTAAAAGGAGCTCGTACCGTTGGGAATGAAATTACATTAATTTAGTACATTAATAGAATATCCACGAGAGGATGTTACAGGATTCATTTAAATTACGTTTCAAATCTTGCAGACGAAACTTTGCATTGCAAATATTCTATCTCTTGCGTGGTTACGGATTAATCACGTTCGTAAAATAATAATTCAGAACGATATTTAATATCGAGAATACAAATTTGCATTGGCGTCATTACCCGTGCAATGGATAACTCTTAGTGACGGTCGGAATGGAAAAGGCAGCGATCCCCGTTGGAGTGATAATTAATTACAAGTCAGTTTGACGTTGCTACAAGTTGACCGAATCATTGTTGACGTAAATGAAATAATATTGAAACCATCAAGCTTTGTCCGTGGCTAGGATTACACTGTCCTAGCGTTCGCTGTACAAAAGGATGACTTCCTTATTTATCGATGCCTAAAACTTTCGTTTGTCGGTTGAAAGCACGTAGTTTCTACTCTCGGGGTTCTGCGTTTTCATTTTCGCAGAAACGTCTAGCGAGTTCATTCCGCGATGCGCGGCGACCCTTTTTTCATAATTCTGGCCATAATTTACGAGCTCCGCGTCGCGGTAGGCGCGCAGAAAACTAGAAACCGCTTTTCCTTCGCGCGGAAGCTTGTCGCGTACTTTGTCGTCGGGTGCTTTTTGCGCGTGATGAATCGCGGAACGCTCGTCGCCGCGAAAATCAGGCGTCGGGCGCTGTTCAATTCTGGAAAGTTGAAGTTCCCCTCCGAGTGCTCTTTCACCACTCTCGTTTGACATTAACCCTAGAAAGGCTCAGCCACGTGTCGGGCCTTTTGACACCGATTTCCTTTGAAACTAATCCATTGTTTAACTTTAAAAAAAAAAAAGAATCCGTCACCTGTCTTTTTCTTATTTTCCACCGTTTAGAACAATTCTTTTGCTTTGCAGAGTTAATACGACTCTGTGTCTCCGTTTACAGCT